AGCTAGCATTAGCATCGGTCATACCAGACAAAGTAAGGCTATAGCAACAAAACCTTGGATAGTATTGAACTGAGCAAGAGTGTGTTTTATTGCTTATTAATTCAACTTTGCATTTGTAAGAGGAAAAAGTATATATTCCTTCTTTATTAATTCAACTTTGCATTTGTAAGAGGAAAAAGTATATATTCCTTCTTTTGAAAATCACTTTAAATCATGAGGTTGAAAACAACAGAACAAGCAAGTAAGTGTGCATTGTGTTGTCTGCTGTCTCAAGCTCAATCAAAACACTGTTTAGCAACACATTCTACTGATAATACAGCATATATTCATATAACAGCACTTGATTTTGTTCATGCTTTTTATGTGTTTCGTTCTCTTTCAATAAAATTCAATGAAAATATAGATTATAAAACACTTAACTGCCACTGTACAGCACTAACCCCTGGGGCAGATCATAATCTGCACTCACTGTGTGCTGTGATTAAGGTTCACATTGTGATATCTGAATGACGTTGACTCTAAAATCTTAATCCCTTTTAATCTTAATCTCTTGATGCAGTCACGTCGACGTAGTTCAGATTATCTGATTGTGCTGTGTGTGAGTATGTAAATCCATTCCTGTGAGTTTATCTGAGTTTATGATTGTGTTTCCTACATAAAGAAGCCAAGATAACAAGACGTAAACACTGTTTTATGTCACAGAAATATAGTTTTTCTTGTTGTCCAGGGTTATGGACATTCAACACCTCCCTCCATACATTACAAAATGTTTCTTAAAGAATCACGTTATTAATACAAAATGTCTGGGGATGGTTTACACACTTATAGAATGAATTCAAGAGACATGCTACAGGCTAAAATCTCTAAAGGTTTTGTACAGATTAACCGGTAAAGTTGTGGTAGTGCATTTTTTAACCACAGGATGGTGCTGTTTTTCCTTTGCTTGTCATTAGATGGTGATGTAGTGAATCATAGTAGGAGTTTATTTTGTCTGTATAGTAAATATGATGCAGTTCAACAATAATGACCAATAATTTTTCATTGATATTATCTGCTGCTTCATTCACAGCTTCAACAATAAGATGCTGCCCTCTGATCTCTGCCTATAACTCAAATTCTTATAGTTGTCCTTTGACTATAATGCTAGGTGATTTAAGGGATGATGTAGAAGGAACATATCTGAACAATGTCATCATGATGATGGGGAAAACATGTATTTAGAGCTACAAAGACACAACAATTAAACATTTTGGAAGCGTCAGTGGGATCTAGAAAAGGACGTTAATAGGAATAAAGAGCAATAACTTGGGTGGAATACTTTAAGTCTGGGTGAAGGCTGGAAGATGATAAAGGTTAATTAGAGGGATGGAAACATTTTAGTTTTATATTTATTGTCTGTGCATTGAATAATTATAGGGGAGTGTGTGTATATGGATATACACCGATCAGCCATAACATTGTGACCACCTGAGCACCCTGGTGGTCAGAATGTTCTGCAGCCTTATACCAACAATCTGTGTGTGTGTTCTGACACCTTTCTATCAGAACCAGCATTAACTGTTTGAGCAGTTTGAGCTACAGTAGCTCGTCTGTTGGATCGGATCACACGGGCCAGCCTTCGCTCTCCACTGACAGGTACCATGATAACCAGATAATCAGTGTTATTCACTGGATATTGTGGCTCCAGTAATTGACAAAGATGGCAGAAACTGTGAAAAATAAGTTAACCAGTTAACCACCTGGAACTATTGTGAAGTTCCTGTGGTTGAAACAATCAAGTTTAGTTCCTGAAAAGGCTTTTGGTCCCCTGGTTGCTGTGGCAGAAGGGCCCTTGCATTTGTCAGGTGTCAACATAATGAGACATGTTTCTGGTTTCAAAATGGGTCACTGTTGGTGATCTGCTGAGTGTGAATGAAGCAAATGATGGGTTTTTGGTCAGTAGGTATGATGGTTCAACTTGCGACACGACAGCATGTTTGGGCGGTCAAACTAGGGCTGTATAACTGGCCCATCCCCCACCCACACAACACACACCCACACAACCCACCTACTCTAGCTATTTTTGTTAGACTGAACTGTGACCTTTTGACCCTCTCCTCTCCTAAACTAGGAATGACCTATACTTCCTAAACAACCTGACACTCAACCATACTGGGAAAAAGGTTATTTTCTGATGAATTCTTGTTTTATATTTTTAAATGTTTTGTGATCGAAGTCAACTAAATTTAATACATATTTACATATCAAATACAAGAATCTGAATACTTCAAAATACTGCAGTTGTTATTGGGAATACAAACTCGATTACACCCTCAGTCACTACTATTAGTGTACGTTGTTGGCCTACCTGTTGTCTCTACTACTCAATCAAGAATGATTAAAGTAGTTGGTTTAACCTAACTTACAAATTGGCAGTTTGGTGGTGTGTTATTACTAATTTTTGATGTATCCATTTCAACAGCTTCGTATGGTTAAATAACTTCATTGCATTATATTGTAAAAAAACAGATCTCTATTTGTGCCCAACAACTTCGCAGAGCCAACACTGCCTACACACACACACTCACACACACACACACACACACACACACACACAGTTAAACACACACTGCTGTACCTCGCCTTACCCCTTACCCTTTAGGCCCTTCTCTGCAGACTCAGGCAGAAATTCTCCCCCCTCAATGGAATCTTCCTCAGGCATTTAGCTTGACACTCTCTGAAGTGGTTGGGCATGGTGTATCTTATGTCAAATGCAGAGCAGTGCAGTTTGTCACTGTGTTCATGTAACCGCAACACATGCTGCCATGTACACTATTGTATGAAGTGTGTGTGTATAAATGAATAATTGATGTTAACCATTTCTGTGTTCAACAGTCGCAAAAGATATGCCTAAAGATTGCAATCTGTGGTTGAATTTAATTGTCCTTAGTCAAAGTCTCCTCACAAGTATGTGCATGTCTGAGCGTGTATGTGTATGTGCATGTCTGTGTGTGTGTGTGTGTGTGTTCTTTCACATGTTGATACCAGGGTAAATTCCTGGAAACACAGCACGCCTGTTTACACAGGTCATATATGCTGTGTACACGCATGCAAAGTTACATCATATGTATACAGCTGGACTGTCTAATGGAATACCATACAGGTCACATGTTGTGCAGTGAAAGTCATTACAACTGTATAATAGGCCTTTTTCACAGCAGCCATTTTGACATGAAATAGGGTAAACACAGGTGTTGCCAACAATACTGATTAAAGTTCCATTCCATTTAGTGTAGCAGAGCCCTTCCAGTGAGCAAAAACACACAATAGCAGCGCCCCTACTCTGTTTGACCTTAATTAGTATCATTGGTACTTGTGTTTACCCTACTATTTCATGTCAAATAAGCAGCTGTGAAAAGGTCTATTAGACAATAAAAAAAGACCTAATACAAAGTGAGAGGTGCTCTAGGTGGAGCTCCCTCTTGTGTTCACTGTTGGTTAAGTTTGAAAAGACACAGAATTGGGGAAAAATGGAAGAGAACTGCAGTGTATTGACCTGAGAATAAGTATTACAAACATGCATATAGTAGCTTTAAATGACACCCCTGACAGTGAGGGCCAGACTGCAGGCTCTGGGAATGTGAGGGTCTGATGCCAAAAAGAGTTCGAGTTCACCCTCTGGGGCTGGATTAGGACAGCCAGACAGACAGCTGACAGTATTGATGTCTGCTTGTGAGTGTATGTTTGTGTGTGTGGCCAGAGCTTCCCTTCTGTTTATTTGGCAGTATTTATTTTAGCACCTTTCAACAGTGTTTCTGTAAAGACGGACTGATTTGCAGTGTGCATTAACTCCTATTTGTGTGCAAAAAGGTTAAGTAGATGTGTGAACATGTGATGGTACACTGAAACCATACTATAGTCATAAGTAAAAATAAACAGAATGGTATCACCACCAAGTCAATGACAACTGAGAATCATCAACTTGATGCCAGGGGTGGGCAGTAGAGAGTTAGCAAGTTAGTTTTGGGGCTTCATAGTCCTGGGGCTTCATAGTCCTGTTTGGTACCACTTCATTTGAATGGGTGTGCATAAGACTGACTATGACAGCTGTCAAGAACATGCAGGAGTCTTTATGAATGTTAATGACTGTTATCATTAAGTCATTTGTCATTTTTATGTTAGGGTTAACTGACCAAATGACAATACCTGTAACCCCTTCAAATAAAGCGTTACCTGTTGCTTCCCTACAATAAAAAACAAAACTAATAGTTACTGCACAAATGCTGGGAATTAATGGTAAAAGCTTCTCAGTTATTTTGTAGTGATTAACTTAAAAGGACCACTGTGTAGGATTCAATGGCATCTAGCGGTGTAGTTGCAGATTGCAACCAACTGAACACCCCTCGCTTCAACCTCCAAGCATGTAAGAGAAACTATGATTAGGGTCCAGCTGCAGTCCTATCCCCGAGGCCCCAATTCTGTGAGCCAATCAGGTTTGAGTAAATTTTCACCTCAGCAGTCCACCACAAACAGTTTGAGAAAAATAAGCAATCCAAGTGCATCGTGCTCATTTTAGATCCACAAGGCCTATAATATAAAAGTTTGTTCCGACTTTCACGAGGCAACAGCACAACTGAAGACCATTATAGTTTAAAGAGTGACCGTGCTGAGTTGCGGCCACTGTTGAAAACACGAACAGAGCTCCTTAAGGAAATGTTTAATATTTGTCTGGAGGAATTTGACCCGATAATACAGGTGAATCTGGTTAGTTTCCCACATTATAAGAATGTTATGAGAGCTGAATGAGTCTTGCGGAGCACAATTGAATGTACGTAAATCTAGTGTAGATAAACACAGATGAGTGCGTTTAGGCTCATAGGAGGACAGGTACATGTTCTATTAGTGACTGGTGACTTTTGGCATGACTTTGCGTACATTCAGTGTTAATATACCAAGAAAACAGGTGTTCCCCTTTCCCCAAAAGAGAAACAAAAGAGACCAAAGATCATAATTAGTTTTTATACCAATTATTTGATACTTTTATTTCCATTTATAAGTATTCGACAATTTACATCACAGCCCATCAGCTCTCTGGAATTGTCTACAAGTCGATGCGCTGTATGTCAGCTGTAGAGGGAGAAGGGGAATGGTGGTAAAGCTGAGGGACACCACATAAGCCTAAAACAGAGGGGGGTGGGGGAGAGGAAACTGTGGTTACTGCCACCAGATCCCAAATTCAGCCCGAATCAACACGCCATGATCATCGTCGTCATCATCATCATTGTTGTCATCATTCAGTCCAGTGCTGTTGTGCAGAAGGGAATGCTGGGAACTCGGAGGACTCAGTGCAGTGGACCTGGAAGAGATGAACACTTTTAGGCCCCATTCACACCAGGTATGAACATGTGGTCTGTATCTGGATATGTGATCTGGATTACGGCTGAAAGCATAAAGTGAATTATATGATCAGTAGATCTGCAGAAAAATAAGCAGCAGCTATTTTGATAACCGATCAATCATTTTAGTCATTTTCAACCAAAAATGCATAACATTCTCAGGTTCCAGACATTTGAAGATGTCACACTCGACTCTACAAAGCTGAGATTGCCATGCTTTCCATTTTTTTGACATTTTGTGGACCAAATCGAAATGTAATCAGCAGATTAATCGATGATGAAAGTGACTGTTGCAGTTGCACCTGCTAATAATAAGCCTTCTCATTATCTCAATTCTGCCGTCCGATCTCAATATGCAAATCAGTTAGGTGGGGCTGGTTAAATTATACTTTTTTTAAGATTGTGGTCACAGTAACACATAATCAGATCCAATCACTATGCGAGTACCTGCAGGGTCGTTATGGTATGATTTTTTTTTTTTTTTTTTTTTTTTTTTAAATCGTACATTACAGTACGATTTATTGTAGGATTAGTGCTCTAGTTGGTGAATTTGTCGAAAAAAGGAAAGCCCTTCTAGAGCCATGTTTGTTTGTCCGTTCTGGGCTACTGTAGGAACATGGTGGTTCAACATAGACTTCACCTGAAGACGACCCGCTCTCTCATTTAAACATTTAAAAAAGCAACATCTCTTTCCAGAAACAGCGCCATAGTGGACAATTCCGCACTTTCTACTTTCTATGACCACGAATGAGTCTGCAAATTACATAACATCCTTACATTTGAGGTTGGAGGGCGACTCCTCATGACGTCCCCTCAGCTGCACTCTTCACACAAGCAGCAAAGGCCTCCATCAGATCTTTGCAGCCCTCAGCTCCCTTCTCGGCCACACTGGAAGAAAGATGATCACAGTCAATACCTTTGCATTTCATTTTCACAAATGGCTTCTGCGTATCAATGTCACCTCAAACTGATGGCATGTAAGTTGGAAATAAGAATGACAGAGAGCTTTGGTCTAGCTTTTGTCAGCAGTAGTGGACAAGTCCCAGTCCAACTAATTCTGTTGACAAAACAGATGCTTGTTTCATGTGCCAACAGATTTTAATGGTAGAAACAACAAAATACAATTTAGCGACTTCAGTGCAGTCTCACCCCTGTCTCTCCATTGGTTGAGGATAGATAAGGTAAATAAATGAGGTATTGTGTGAAGATCATTAGAAAATGATTTGAGACATGGAAAGTCTTGATGCCAAGTGTTCTCACTCAATACAAGATCAACTAATTTAATAAATAATCAATTTAAACACCAATTTTTTTAAATTTTTTTTTTTGGAGTTTATGTCCAGTGAAATTTCACTGAGGACTGTTCTATAAATCTGAAATGCAGAATAAAGGATGAGACAAAAGGGGATGAAAGTGAGAGAGAGAATGCGGGCTAACAGATTATTTCAGGCTCCCATGCAGGAGCAAACACAGCAGCCGACACTGCCACAAAGCATTAGGGTGATGGATCGAGAGCGAGCAAGCGAGCAAGCGAGAGGGAGGGAGGGAGGGGGGAGTGAGCGATACAGAAAGCCGTGTGGATGAACCCATCTGTTTGATAGGACAGCAGAAAGGGAGGGAGGGAGGTTGCGTGATAATGCAGAGCAATGGCAGGACACGGGGATAAGATGGTGAGCCTACAGGAGGAGGAGGGGTTTCATGATACATGAATGTGAACCCATCCTATGGCTCCTCCCTTCACTTCATGAGGTCTGACATCCCTCTGTTTAACCAATCTCTCCTCAACCCATTGAAGAGCAGGGTGGCAATCCTGATCTGTTAAACATCAATATCTACATCCTGGCTTAATTAAACTTTAAAACAGCACCTGCTCACCACTACAATAACAATTTTGTTACTTATCCAATACCTAGTAGTGCTAATTTAAAGGATAAAGCTAGTGATATGGTGTTTCTTTGGGTTTTTTTTTGGTTAATAACCTCTCTATATAGTAGTTTTCATTGTTAGTGGCCAAGTCCACCACTCGTGGGCAAAATTCAACGTGTGTATTACACACAAGGGGTTCACAAGAAACAATGTATGCTTGTAATCCAGTATTCTTGTTTATAGTTGTATGTCATTGAGATAAGTCTGGCTGTTTACTGTTCACTCCCCTACAGACGAGTCAAGAACTGTATTGAGTTACTGCTAATGCTAACCCAACAGTTGTCTTTTTTCTTATTTCATAGATCCTTTTCTTCCTTGTCGAAAGCTGGAACCTACATTACCCACAATGCATTTTGATCACCAAAAGTTTGGTTGAAGATTTTGGGGTGTGTTATGCTAGTAGTGGCTACAAACTTGCAGTCTTCAGCCCTGACACTGACTCAAGTGACATCACTTGAGGCAATTTATCAGGACAGCTCCTTCTGGAGCCACAAAAGACTTAATACAGATTTTTGCACATATGCACTTTCCAAGACCAGACTTCATGGTGACAACACGACTCCAGGACTACTCAATGCACTGATGAATAAACAGCTGGCTGAACTGTGGAGTCCATAATAAGATAACTCTCACCGACATGAACAACAATCAGTTTAATTTTCAGCCTTGTGTGATCCCTCGAACACACAGAGTGGAAACAAAGTCTATTCTGCAAATCTAAAAAAACGTGGAAACCAACACAATCACGTTACAGCGTCAAACATTTTAATATAGCTACAGGGACATCTCTGCTTCTTTATCTCTTTGAATTGTGGCCGGGTGACTGTTGGTGATGTAACACACAGCTGGCTGCTGCAGATTATCACTCAGCACTTTACTTTGCTCGGATGAATGGGGGTGGCGGTGTGTGTATGTGTATGTGTGTGTGTGTGTGTGTGAGAGAGAGGGGAAATAGGAGCTATTGAGTTGGTGTCACTGCAAGCATGCATTTCTGGTGCTGTGTTGAAGTGTGTGTGGACACAGTCAATGAGTGCTTATGTTTGACGCACTGCATTGATGACCAACATCAGCGTAGCATACAGTCTAACCCCTGAGGGTGTGTGGTCAGATAATCCTGCCACAGCAGCACACATATGTACTGGAGGAGCTGACTGAACTGAGGTGGATGGAGGAATCATATCGGCAAAATGGTTGCCACACTAGAGCAGCCCCAAGAAAACCGACATCATCTGGACTTGATTCAGCATACTATATTCAGCTATATACTGCAAATCTTTTTTCAAAGTAAAAGCATTGTTCTGTTTCATAATCTGTTGTGTGTATTTTAAACACAATATCAAGTCTATCAAGTCTTGACTATGCTGCAGATTCTCTTTCATCTGCTTCAACAGTTTTAAATGTACACAGTCCTGACATGGATGTCTATAAAGTGCCCGCAGGGGGATTACAGAAGCATCAGATCAGTGCAGTCACATGCACATGCAGAGGAGCCAATGACATCACCACCACCACCACCACTGGAGCCATCACGCAATCTCCTGAGAGAAAGCACGATGCAAGGTCATGTTACAGGGTTATGGGGCAAATCTGGGTTGCCATGGTGACCAGTTTAGGCCTTAACATTTTGGCCAATACAGGCTCAATTATACCTATTAGATTATTTGAAACAAAGCTTCTGATATTTAAATGTAAACTCTTCCAGTGAATTAATCTACCATCATGACCAGCATGTAATCTAAACCAACTTCCTGCTATTGAGCACTAGTTGCATCCTGACGCAGTGATGTCAGCATGTCCAGGTTTAGCTGTTCTCCACTCCGGCTGTGTGGAGGAGTGACGTCCTCCCATCTTGGACACAATCAGGAAATAAAGGCTGAATTATTTAGACTGGGCGAGATGTAGGCCGTCCTCTGGGACAAACATGCATAATAGATCACTGAGCAGGTGCGGAGGCAAACGATGATGTAGAGGCCAAACAATAGTTAAGAGATCATATGATTAAGGCTGAGTGTGGGTGTCTTTTTGTATGACAAATATCATAAAATGTATAAAGTAGGTAAATACTATAGTAAATGAAAATATATACGAATACAATGAAATATATAATAACAATAATACATAGACATAACTAAAGATAAGATAAGATCACCATTTCATTTTTTTTCTCAGCACATTAGGAAGCAGTGGCAGACCTTGAAAAACTGGTTATATATTTTTCTTCAGGAAATACCTCCAGAACAGAGGCAACTGTTGTAGAAAGACCCTCTGGGTTTTTCAAAGATCATGGTAATACATGAGAGGAACAAACTGGGCTAGGGTCTACCGCTAACTGTACTACTAATTCAAGATGGTGACAAAACGTATTGAGGTTTTTCAAACTGAAAATTTCATCTCTGTACATCTACAGTAGTTAGACTGGAGACTCTTAAAAGTTATGAGAATTGCTGGGAATTATGAACATCTGCAAACTACAGGAACTTCCTTACAGAGTCATCCTGACACAGAAGGGCAGTATGCAGGGGTTGGGGGCACCTGGTGCCAGTGTGACACAGCTACAGCACAGCACTCAGATTACTGACTTCTGCAGAGTCAACGAATTCCATAAAGAAAACCAGCACAGTCTCCACTGGCAAGAATGTACACACATGTCTGCACATACAACTGCAGGCAATCAGTAACAGAGTGTGTGAGTAAAGGAAGGGGGAAGGGGCTGTGTGCTTATGTTCAACTCTTGTGAAAGAGCCTGGAGTCTCAAAGTACACAGACTAACCACTAACCAACATGTTAGCTAAAGGAGTTACTACTCTACATGACAAATATTAGCAAGAGCTAACAGCTCAACTAGTCACATGTACTGTACTGTAGTCAGCATGTGCCCTATAGATCTGTATTTGTTTGTTTGTGTGTACACATCGATTTTCCTGGCTCTTTTCCACAAACAGACAAAAAACTTAACTAGCTAACTACCTTTAATACTTTTCTTAAAAAGGTGTCAAAAAAAATCTACAGATACTGAGAATATTTTAACTCCTATCCAGAAGTTCTTTTCTTTTTAAGAATTTTATAGTAATTAGTGGCTGTATCTTGAAACAAGGCAAGTACATTTTAAAATATGTGAAACAACTGAAATGTCCAGACTGGGCTGCATTTTTTCCTATATTTTTCCTAACTATATTACAGACAAAAATGTGTCACTAAGAGAAAAATACAACTGGTCCCAGTTTTTAACACTTATACAACCTTATTTCAGCAGAAATAAATAATGAGCATTAAAACCATTGAACAAATGACTAATGTGAATATTTTAAAGGTATAGCATTCTTTATTGTCTCACTTATGCTTATAGCCTGTTGCTAACTCTTCACCTTTGATTTTGCCTGTGTGACCTTGACAAGGTCATAACTCCTGCTGCTATTTAACAGGAAAGTCTCACAAACGTGAATTCTCCTATTAAACTATATAAAAAAAAGTCTGACCTGAAGCTGTGTAAAACGAATAAATCTGACCCAGAGCAAGCTCAAAGAGACGCTTATCTCCACAATATGAGGTCCTGAAGCCAACATGGCCGCCTCCATACATCCCTGTCTGCATGAGTGTGAATGTCGCTTATTTGGCTGGCCTGGTTGAAAGAAGCAGGTGTCAGGTGGAGCAGTAACGTGATCTATGGAACATGTCACGGTATCCTGCAAGCACAGCCTGACTCGTACACACGTATATCCATGGCGGCTATAAATACATAGGGGTTATGGTATTCATTACACAGAGTCAGCCGTGTTGAATCTACAGTTGGTTTGGAATAAAATGAAAGACCCAGACAGGCCAGCAGTGTACTCTGATTGCCTCTGCACTTACACTCAACACATGGTAATACACTGGAGCATGAGTGGCCACATGCTGAGTGAGGGCGCATGAGTCCAAGGAGGAGCTGAGTATCTGAAATTTGAACACACTTTCCCTTAAGCAGACCTAGTAATAGAGTATAAATGATCATAAAACCTGGATTGAAAATATTACTTTCACTTTCAGTCTTAATGGAATTGATCTAATTGTTATCTTGACCTGTTGCCAGCAGAGTTGAATGGTACTTAAAATGGCACTGCCAATTCAGAGGTCAATGGTGGCATATTAAAAAGGTCCAGTGTGTAATTTATTTATTTTAAATGTATTTAGGAGGATTGTCAGAAATGGAATATAATATTAATAGGTATGTTTTCATAAGTGTTTAATTACCTGACTATAGGAATTATTGTGTTTTTGTTACCTTAGAATAAGAAATTGTTAGGCAGGTCACCTTCCATGCAGTCTGC